TATATATATATATATATATATATATATATATATATATATATATATATATATATTCATTTATTTATTTTTTATTATCCCATCTTAAAACATATTTTTTTTTTTATGTGAAAACTTATTTGGAGCTTAATTTCTGGCTCAGGCCAAGAGGCTGAACTGCAAAATAGTCATGGCTTTGATGCATCATAGAGTAAAAATTACAGAATGCATCCAAAGTAAATGATACAGTTTGGCACAGAAGCAGATAGATAAATATGAAACCTTTGGACCACTTCAGAACTGTCTGACACATAGTGATGGAAGGAAGGATGTCCAATCACAATTAAATGCAACCACTGCTCTCCTCTGGCTGTTTGCTCAATGATGGCTGCTTTGCCTGTATTCCATCACAAATCTTGCCCAGAAGAGTAAAAGCCAAAGAAGATGCTTTAATTTATTTATGGTGGTTGCATTATGCTTGGACCAATGAAACTTTGCCCAACACAATCTAAGAATCCTTTGGACAGTGCCATGAAGTATTATTATTTGAGAATTGGATGTATTAGAATATGTAAGATTCCCTTGGAGCACCTAAAATCCACATTACAATATGTTGAAGTAGTGATTGTAAAAGATCATTGACATATATTATACTCTTGTTAGAATCTGAACAAGCAGAACAACTTAGCTCTTCTGCATCATCATCATCTCTCTCTCTCTCTCTCTCATTTGAACACAAATAGTATTTCATATGCATCATGATCACAATTTGAAATTTGTAGGAGCATGCTGAGGGCATTGGCCTTCATTCAATGCTTGAAAGATGGACACTAGACTTGGAATCCTGGTTCAAGAAATGGAGAACAAGAGTTCTTTGGCAGCCAAGGTGGGTCAAATGTGACTTGAGCCAACCCCAACATGTTCATGCTTTTGCTTTTGATAGCATTATGATCATCATTGAACCATAACATGATCCCCACATCATGATTCCACTAGGGACACACTGCTATTTGGAACCAGTAGCCTCCATGTCCTATACAAAAGGATGCCTCTTGAGCATGTGACAATCCCTGATGTTCCTTGATGATTTTGTCTTTGCAGACCACACTTATAACTTATCATTTTTATGAATGATAAAAATGATACTTTATGGATGTATGGTCTTTGCAGACCATACATGTATAAATTGGAGAGAGGTTGACATGATGACCCTATTTATCTGCAAGCTATCAAACTAGCATTGATGAATGATGGCCTTGCTCAAAAATATTTCACTCAGGTGCATAGGTTCACTTCAAAGTGTACAGTCTTTAAGTAGAAGCTTCATGAATATGTAATGTAATGGGGAAGGCCTTTAATGCTCTACCTGCTAAAATACTCATTAGATTTTTTTTTTTGGACAACAAGAATAAGGATTACTGTTCATTTTGTAATATTTGTAGTGATAGAGATAAAAAGAAGAGAGAAAAAAAATACAAAACAGGGAAGTAAATGAGCTTGAAAGAGTTAGAGACAGTACAAACTGAAGGTGGACAGATGAAGGAGCTGCAATGCTCGAAATCAGCATGATGTACTAACTCATCACAATCTTGCACCAATTAGGACAAGGCAAGATGTGTGGATTAAAGTGAGTTCTAACTATATAAATTGATGTCATGATATTTTCTTTTTCCTTTTTTTTTTGTTGGCAAAATTACATCTACATATATATTCCTTCAAAGTCAAAATTTTAACTTCTAAAGTAAATATATCACCAAAACCTAAGACCTTGAATTATTTAATTATTAGTTATCATTATTTAATTATTTTTTAAAAAAATATTTTTATTTCATTATATTAAACGTCATACTCTTATTTGACACTTAATAATCAATTATAATTGATTATGATATTAAAAATATTAAAATTTTATTATTTTAACGATTATATACTTCTTTAACTCAAAGAAACTTATATCAATCACAACTAAAAATAGTTAACTTGAATTTTCTTGAATGAATATTAATGGCTAAGTATCTTAATATTTGGAGCTATATATATTATAATATATTTTTATAATGATGATTATATTATTTCCAAACTTTAAAAGGATATCTATATATATATATATAAACGGTTTTTCAAGGACTGATTATATATTATATATTTTTATTATATTTAAGTAGGTGAAAAATGAAACTCACGTGAATCCCACGTGGATGGGGTGCCCGAAGAGTTCAATTTTGCGCGTACGCAGAGATATTAATGCGTACCAAACGTCTACACTATACCCTTGAATGCAATAGCATCAACATGTACCTAAGGTCACAGGCGGAAACATCTACCCGAATCACGATTGGAAATTAAGAAACACTAATTGCGGGATCCACCAAAATTCACTTTTTTATTTGAGGTACGTTGACGGGCAACGATCTTTGGTCGCTATAGGTTCCCACGGTCTGGAACTCGGGTCTTATTAAACACTGAGTTACTGTCGTCTGATTCAAATCTGACGGCTCTGATCAGACGCCAGAACCTAGTGGTCCTCCGACGCCTTCCTTCGACACATGCAAGGCATATGATGAGGGTAATTTCGTGATTCGTACGAACGGGAAGGGCTTTTCCTGTTACCGCTGCTTTAAGTGCTCTCCCCGTCACCTCTGATCGCTGCTCCGCCGGCGTCGAAGCCACGCCAAATCTTTCCACCTCCTCCGCGTTCATCCCCGAAAACGAGTATGTAATCGGACGAATGCAGCCTCGGTTCCAACTTTCATGGGGAACTCATCTTGCTGAGAGCCTCCAGACACGGGTTTGATGAGATCAATTTGTGGGTTGTCGGAGCTGCGTTAGAAATCTGTGTTCCTGGTTATTGTTTGAGTTCAGCTGCTATGACGGGTTTGTGGCTTCAAAGGTGGGATTGTTAACAGAGTTTCGAGCATCTGATGTTAGTGGTGAGGTAAAATTTCTGTCCGCTTGCTTCCACGTCGCTAAAGTTCTTATCTTGTACAAGTAGTCAGTCGTTCCGGGATATAGCAACCGGTAGCGGCTTGTTTTTGGAGAAATGGGGTGGCTCTAAGTGTTATGTAGTCGGCTAATGTGATTAAAGCTTGACTTTGAGCTGCGTTTTTAGTTTTAGTTGTGGATTTTGAGCCGTATTTAGCGGAAATTAATGCCTTTGGGCTGTAGTTTTGGGGAACTTTGCTCCTATTTTATATTCTTTTTTCTTATTTCGGAGCTTTTGTGTGGGTTTTTTATGTTGGAATCTGGTTCTGCTTAGTGTCTTCAAGTAATAATGAGTCCTGCTTCCGCTTTCGCTTCTGAAGTCAACCACTTGTTTGTTAATCTTTGAGCAGAGTG